TTGTATTAAATACAACTTTGTTTCACCATTTTATTGGACTTTGAACATTAGGATTAAACGACAATGATGTGAGAAATCATTTTGCCATCTAATCCTAATGGTCAATAAAATGGCGGAAAGAAATCTTACAGCGAGTTATAGAGAGAAAAATTTAAATTTTCAAAAATATATTTTCATAGTATATTTACTCACGAGAGAATTTTTTTTTCACGTTTTTACACGCGTTTGAATTCTTACAATCTTCAAGGGAGAAAGTACTCTCACTTTTTCACCAACTGTATCATGTAAAATCATCTTCGAAAAGAACGAACTCACCATCAATTCAAGTGGATCTGTATTTACGAAAATCAGTGTAGATTATCGACAATTTTTCACTGTCATTGGTACAGTTCTCTTTGGCTCTTCGCTGTATATCTTTCGTCACTCATTCATAATTCAATGAGTTCGGGGCAATAATGAAAATTTGTTCTCAAACTCCATTGTAATCTACTCCTGATTTTTGCACGTACAGTGAGAACCGCTGACTCGTAACAGGTGGATAACCACGTTGCACAACACGCAAGAGAGATTTTAAGCAAACGATTTTAAAAAAACGTTTGCTTACATAAAATTCCGCACGGGTCGGTTCTTTTTACCCTTGGCTTTCCTCGAGATAATATTCTTCGAATCACGAATACGTTAGCTCGTCACAGTCGCGAGCATTTCGACAACGAAATAAATTGCAAGTTATACAATCGCTGCCGTTCGACGTGAAATATCATAAGAATACGAAATAATAAACTTGTCAGTTCATCGATATTGTTAATTAACCCGTTGACACACGAATTAAGTGAAATTCGATGCGACCAAAAGATGATACCTTTCATTTTAACATTTTGTGTTGTAAACTTAACAGAGATAATTTTTCTACTCTTATTATATTTATATATTGCCGCAAAATGTCGTAAACACAATGCTTACAAACGAAATTAATAAAAAAAAAAAAGAATGATGAAAGAACAAATTAGGAGACGCATGATGTCTCCCAGACGTCATTGTATGTCAAGGGGTTAACAAAATTAATGCCAGTGCCAGCAGTGCAGAAGTTTTTCAAAATGTCGAACTTGTGTTTCGACCTCTAACCCCGGAATGTTTCGCTCCATGGTACAACGAAAGAAAGAAAGGTGCAACGCGAGCAACTAGACCGTGGAGGGAATAATTTCATGGCGGAAATTGCACCGTTTCCGCCCTTTCCTTCCATCGATCCATTATCCGAGATAGAGTTCACACTCTAACGAAACGAAATTTCTTAAAATTCGCCGTAACAAATTCCAACTCGTTGAAAATTCCACACAGCGAATTGCCATTCGTTGCCCTACGAAGACATACGAGATTTCAATGAAACGAAAATCACTCGGCAAATAGTCGCTCCTGGTACGATTTCCGGCAGTCGATCGAAAGGAAGTGCAACGGAGGGAGCACGTGGTAGGAGTGAAAGTGAAACATGGTCCACGTGCTTCTTGGTCAGCCAGGCTTGCAAGTATCGGCTTAACCGAACCGCAGACAGCACGTTTCTGCACCAGCTGGTGAAACAGGTTTCGTAATCGCGGTCGAAAACTCGCGGATGATGTCGAGTGCCATCGAGTGTCATTGAACGGACCAAGCCAATCAGTTTGAAAGAACGAACGAACTTATTGTGAGAAATTCCGTCCGTTTGGATTGTTTGTGCTTGCTTGTTCCCGCCTTCATAGGGAATTTACGTGACGCTGAGTTCGCTGAATTGTCTACACTGAAGACTATAGAGGAGGGAAGAATTTGGTGAATCTTGGGAAAGATTGAGCAGAGCCATCTTGTCGAGTTGATTGGGATAACGCATGGAACGTCGACAGAAAAGGGATGAAAAGGAAAAGAGAAAACTTGGGAAACTTTCAGAAACCGAGAAAGGCTCAGTTATATATTTTGATCACATAATGGCGAGTGTATGAATATTTTAGCTACTTTTTGTTATGAGTTTCATTCGACGAATTCCATTTCGTTTGAACCAAATTTTAAACAATACCCGATTGAATGAACTCTTTATTGATTGAATCCACTTGTTTAAGCCTAAACTTTTATTGTACAAACGAAAAATTACTGATAGAGAGAATAATCAGTAGATTCTTATTATGTGAACTCCAATTTATATAAAATACAAACTATTGTTCCCTGATAAGTTTATATAAACTGAAACTGAAAATATTTTTTATTTATGGCATATATTTTCTCAAGAAACATTATTTATTTATTTATTGATGGAGAAGTCCAGGTGAATGATACAAAATAAATGAAAGTGAAAATGTTTAGGAGATCATGTTATATCATGTGGGAAGGACGCGGGAGAGATTGAGAATTATTAAAAAGATCGAGTTGAAGATCGTCGATAAATAATTTTGTTAGTTATATTAAATACCTTTGATGTAAGATCGAATTGCTCAAGTTTGATTTTTTTTTTTTTTTTTTTTTGTGAATCTTGAATTTTAAAAAAAGAAAATTCCTAAGAAATTTAAATAGCACTTATATTAAATTCTGAAGCACTATTGGTATATACAATCGCAACACCTATTTAAAACATGGCGAAATTATTTAAAAAAAATTTTTTTTTTTTTTGCTTTTCCCTCGTGTGATCGTCATCAGAAGTTAAGAACAAAATTACTTCAATCGCCGTAAAAATTCTCCATTTCGGTATTAACGCCTTGCCTTGCTGGAAAAAGCAAATCAGAAATTCGACTCCTACGTTTCAGGGTTTCCACATTTGTCAGAGTGAGTATACGATTATAGTGTACAAATTGTTGAGACGAGTGTTGAAATTATCATTATCATACACTCGCCACTCATGTTTCTTGGCCAATTACATCTCTTCGAGGAGACAAAAATTTTGTCCATTTCACAATGATGATAATGATAATGATTGGATAATCATCTCACTGGAAAGTCATTACTTACAACTCGCGCGAGTTGTACAATCACCCGTGGTGTCAGTTCCACCAGCAGATATAATGTTTCATGAACAGTTTCACAATGATCGTATGAGGTGGTACGATCTCGAGTCAATTACTCGCCGAATCAACGGGCACCAATTCAGATTTCACTCAAGCCCAGGTGTGCAGATTACAGTCACGTAATCGATCTTAGACTTCCTTGATGGTTCGACGTGTCAAAAGAGACGGAATCTAGAGGGTGACGGCGTAGAACCAATCGATCGAGAGCAACAACATTGAAAAACTTGACGGCCTCGTGTTCACTTTGAAGCGAAGAAATGAACATAGTTCGCGCTATCGACGGAGAAACACCTTCGATTGATAAAAACGGGACAACTATCGGCAACGAAAGACGCCTGGTTGCGTCGTACTCGAAATTCGAATTGGCCAATCGATTTCGAAACCGGCGAAATATCGCTGCTGGTGAATTCCCTGCACGCGTCCGCTCGAGGTCACGTACGCACATGTCAAAATGGAGCACGAGGGCAGCCGCCGAAATGCCGAAATTCGATCGTCGTTTCGAACAGTCACGACCGATCTGTCTTCCAAGCTGTGACGGCCGCTGCAGTTTCATCGCTGAATGGTCGTTGAACACATATTCACACTAGTTTACCACGAAAGTGCGAGAAGATCGAAGAATCGCGAGAAGTGAAAGCGTGAGGGAGGTGTTTTCTGAAATTTCCCACCGGCTTTCCATCGAAACCGAAAGCTCCGGCACGCAATAAATAAATCACGCGTGACTTTCGACATCCGAAATCATAGGATTTTCCGCGTTCCTCGCCGCTAAACAGCGAATCCTCCCCAGGATTGGCTAATCGGCAGTACCATTTAAATCGAATCCGATCGCCCATCGAATACGAATCGCTTGGTTAGTCGTGTTTTTTTTCCTATTTTCCTGGCAGCACGCTTGCTTACGTGATGGGAATCACGCGATCGAGAGAGATTGCCCGGTGTTTAATGGCCCGAGTTAAATAGCCAACATTGCTCTGGCAACCGCGGTCCTTTAGTTCTTCCGATTCTTTCGCTTCCTCGCGAGTGAACCTCGTGGAACGCGCGCGTTTCGAACTCGAAACTCGTCTCGTGTGCCGTCCGTTCGCGAACAAAGTACGTACCAGAATTTTGTGAAGTTGAGCGAACGTCTTCGGAATATAATAACTCTGATTATGAAGGAAATTCTAAGCTTTGGCGCTCCAAATGTGCAGAGATGGACGAAAGTACTCGGTGAACGATCGTCGATATTTTGAACTGTTCAAGCTTCGTGAAAACGAAGAAATGCAATTGGTCTCGTTTTTAAAGCACTCTTCAATGAGACCAGACTCGAGTATTTTTTTGCAAAGATGTTTCTACATTACGAACGAAAAGCAAGTTGTCTATAAAAATTCAAATCGTCTCCGAATTCACTGGAAAATTCTTTTCATGACTGGATCTTGAAGACCGAAGTCTTCCCTTTTAAACTTGCTGATTTCTTCCCGACATTTTATCCTTTCGTTCTCTACATCTAAAGTTCCAAATTCAGTAAAATTGTGAATAAAAATCGTACGACAGGTTTTAAAGTGGAGAGTTTAATCTCGAAGATTCACGGTGAATTTAGTCGCGAGAAAATTTTTCAAACGTCTCGACTTTTACAATTCTTTCGAAGATGAATACCCACATTTTTCCATTCGTTACGTTATATTGAAATATTATTTGAAAAAAAACAAACAAACTCAGGACCGTGAAAGTGGAGGGCTTCGCGTTTTAAAACGAGATCAAATGGATTGTTAATTACAACGACTTTTTGTTATAATAATCGGCAATTTTTCAATGTAACTGATTCAATTGTGTTCCTCATTGTATTTAAACGAATCGTCCACTCAGCTAAGAAACTAACTTCACTATATTCACTCATCACTTTGGATTTCGTACAGATTTTTATATCTTCCATTGTGAACGTATAGTTTAGAATATATCAAGTCTAGATATATCTCGTGAGTTTGATGATCGATCAACAGCGTTTGATTGCAGATGCAGACGTCGTCGATCAATATATTGACAATCGGCTTGTCGCTATTGTGCTTCGTGCACTCTCTTCACAGCGACCGACAAACATACTCGACGAATGATGAATCGTACAATCCTCACAATCTTCGTGCATCAGACTCAGAGGTGTATCGTGTCGCAGAACCGTATGATCTCTTCAGAATTTCGAAATCTTTACCTCAGTACGTGGCACACGTCGAAGAGACGTCGAAGGCTACTCGAGAAGGAAATCAACTTCGAGAACCTTCGCTCCTGTTGATCTATCCTGAGAAAACGTCAGAAGAGACGTATCCACAGCCGAAAGAATACGATAATTTGGAGTCGAGACATCGTAGAAAGAACTCCAGTGTAGATGGAATGAATTTTGAAGACGAGAATACAGAGAACGACGGAGAGGAAATTGTGAGAAAGATGAGAATTCTAGATCAACTGTTGTCCGAGGATTCGAATGGAAAAGATTTCGATGTTGACGCAATTGGAGACGAGATCATCCCGGAAGAATCGAAGAGGGTTGTAAGGGAGGTGAAGAAAAAGAAGCCAGGATTGTTTTGGTCCCTGGCAAAAGTCACGTTCCAGGTGAGGGATTTTCTATGTGAAATAACTAAACTGTGAATATTTAGCCCTGAGTGACTTTCTTTTTCCTTTCTTTGCTTCATTTTCAAGGGTAGTGCCGGACTTTTTATTAGCTAAAAACCAAAGGTCGAAATTAACAGATTTTTTTTCAAAAAGAAATTCTATTCGAACACCTGTTGTTGTAGAATTTTTATAGAAAAAAGTGTTACACTTAGCAACACTTTTGAATAGTGTTCTCATTAGTGGAACAAAATCATTTGGATAAAAGGTTCACGGTGACAAGTTATTTTAGAATATTTAATTAAAAATCCATTTTTATATTCGAGTGCTTGAACTTGAAGTACTTAATGTTAATATTTGTTACAAATACTGAGAACTCTGTTAATATTAATGAACAAATTATCTGTTCTGTCTCCGACAGAAAAATGTTTACTTTTATATTTCACAAGTTCTATTCTGCTTGGGAATTTTATTTTTAAAGATATTTATTTATCTGTTCTCATTAGGACCTGTGATGTAAGAACATTTTTCGTACAAGTTTCAAACAGAACCTACTGAAAGTTTTTCGTAACATTTTCGATCCCTGATTTATTTCGATTACTCGTTATTTAAGGCTAATCTTCTTAATGTCGGAAGACTGATATCATTTGTATCATGCATATTATTTTTTGTTTTATTTAAAAAAGAAGAGCCATGGGTGATCTTCGACTTTCGTTCTGTAACTCACGTCACATTAAATTCTTCGAATATCTAAACAGCTGGAAACTTACGACACGAACCATAAGTTTCTTAAGAAAGAAACAGGAGATGTTGGAAGGTTAAATTCCTCAAAGAGATGAAATCGATCGAACCTTAAATCGTTTGTATTGACTCGAGTGTGACTATTTTCAGGCGATCAACGACACAGCATCGGCGATCAAGCAAATCACTGCCATCATCAATAACAGCATCGTTCCAGATTCGGCCACTGCTAGCTCGATCACGAAGGAATCGTTAACGGCCGCAAATTCAACCAGCGTTTTATCGAACGGAACAGAAACAACGACGTCGACGCCCACGACGACGCCCGTCGTTCTGACAAGGAAGACGCTAGAGAAACTAATCAGGCGAAATATCTTAGGGCTCGTCAGAGTCTTCAACATCGAATGGAAGGAAGCGTTAAACGTAAGACGAACTACTTGAAGTGGTGTTCTATTTATTCAGCTCATATATTACGACCGTATATTTTCCAGCAATCGGAAACGAACGTGAAAGAGTTCCAGAGGGATCTAGGGAACCAAATAGGGAGTTTCTTTCGCGACAAGAGGAACGCTTGACAACTCGTGTGCCCTTCGGACGACACGAACATCTGTTTCCTCATCTTCGTAAAACTCCGGCGACAGTGTACATTCTCTTAGCTCCAAAACAGTGTTCTCCAAAGATCGAGCACAAGTTTCCGAGCCTGTGCGGATCGTTTTCCTTCTGTAGTTCGAATGAAGAAAAGAGTTGAAAGCGAGAGCCGAGGGCCATTTCGAATCAAGGACAAACGCTGGCTGTTACAAAACGCACGAAAGATCGCGGACGTTGATGCTGCTGGCTCGTTGTTACGTCACCTTCGAAGATCATCGTCCGATATTTATGTAACGCGCTCTCTCGTATTATATTGGCGATCAGTGAAAGAAGACCGTAAAGATCAGACGCGAATTCGAGAATCGCGGTTACGGTAAGTAGAAAGCCTGCTCGAATTCGATTGGTGGACGCGCGACGTGGGATCAGCTCGATTCGCCCTTATATGTGTGATCGACCGGTCAGCGATCAGGAACTGCACGATCAGTGCTCACTCATGGATCGCCAAGGATAGATCTGCTCACACACCGAATATTACTCGTTGAACATACACCGATTTGAAAACGTTCACGATTGACAATTTCATCGACGCATTTATATAACGATTAATAAACGAGGACAGGGAATTTTTTCAAATTCGCTTGGTTTTGTGTCGCGTGCCGTTGTTCATTGAAATGAAT